ATTCTTAGTGCTACCAAAGTAAACTCCCGTAGGAAGTCATTGTACGTTGCGAAGTTCTTCCTCTGGACTGCCGCTAAATCGGCCTCCGTTGCCATATATTTTCTCATCATCACATCTCGGGTTTCTTTCCAAGACCGGCTCGCGCCCACAATGGTCATTATGTCCCGTCCTAGGCCCAAAGACACATGCTGCCCAGGTGGTCCATCTTCTCTTCTTCGGTCCATTTCAACAGCGCAGCCAGATTCTCGTAATCTATCAGGAATTCCGTGATGTTCGCCCCATCAAACGTCAACTTTTTCGTAGCATCCGCTAGGTAGCTTTGATTTTTGTTTAGTGCTCGCGCGAGGGACGACACTATCTTCTTAAGGCCGCCCTCGGAGCTGCTGGCCTCGCCTGCCATACTGTTATTCGGACTTTCCTTGCCGGCCTTCTGTCCCTCCCTGGTTTTCATAGTTCCTTCCGGGTCAAACCATCCCAACACTCTTTCCCTATGGCTCCAAAGTCCTTCGCATCCTCGTGCTATTGCTGGCGTGGTCGACAGGCGGCTAGCCCTACTATCCATGGCTGGTGGAGTCGTAGCCTTTTCTGCTTCCATCCCGGGAGAGTTCTCTCTCTCTTTCCTTCTCTTGCTCGACGGTCCTCCACGGTCACTACCTTTATCCCCTTGTCCAGTCCCACCTCGGCTGGCTTTCCGTTCGTCCCGGGGTTTCTCCTGCAGAGGGCCTTCTTCGTTCTCAGTCATCATTTCCTCAATCAATCTTGCCTTATATTTCGCGGTCCTCTTTTCTATCTCGGCTAGTTTGCGCCTCGCATCCGTGACCCTTACTTTCTTAAACATGGCTCCTTCCGAGTTTCGGGGGCTTGTCCTATCCTTATTTCTGCCCTCCTTGGTCTCCTGAGTCCCTTGCCTGCTTCCCCCGGCTTTCCCCGAGCTTTCTCCTGTGGAGATTTCCTTCCGGTTCTCTTTGGTGCCATCCGGATTTATCGATTCTCTGTCCTTATAGCCCCCCTTCGCTTTGTGCGGCACTGCCTCCTAAGCCTGGTTCTCCTTCACTCTTACGGTTATCTGTCTCCTCCTCCGTTGTCATTTTGCCTAGTTCTGCATAAGCCAAAGAATTCCCAGGACACACGCAATGCAAGGTGTTTAGGTTCCCTAGGCTCCCAGCTCTGTTGGCCTATCTTTATAGCCCCCTTTCCTATCCCCGTTTCCTGATTGCCCTTCCTTAAGGAGGAGCCACGAATGGCCCTGCCGCCCAGCCGAGCTATGAACGTGACTTGGCTTCCTTTATCACAAGCTCGTTTGTAGTACCCTTGTCCCGTCGGCCGATGCAAGGGAGTCCGGGTTAAGCATCCTGCTAGGGGAAGTCTTCCCGAGCAGCATTTCTTGTTTTTGACCTTCAGGGTTATGGTCAATCATTAGGAGTCTGCCCCCTTCTTTGTTTTTCTAGTGGGTTTTAGCTATCCAGGTCCGAGGCCCCTTTCTTATTCCCATCGGCGAACTTCCGTACGCAGCGAACTATACTCGATCTGCCCTATTGGCCTGCCTGCGGATGCTAGTCCCGCTCTCGCCCTCGCGACTCTTCTGGTTCGGTCGGCTCTTCGAATAGTTCAACCACCCCTGCTAAATAACTCTCTCCTATCTCAATTTCCCTCTTGATTATGCGTTCACATCCCGCCCAGTCTAGCCGTGGCGCCCTAAACATCAGGATGTGGATGACTTCCAGTAACTCGTGGGCCCTATTTCCCCAGAACGGCCCATGTTCCACAGCGACATCATAGAACATCCCAATGGGGAGGGAAAGTGGCCTGCCCAGACTATCGCTGAGTCTGCCAGCTCCCGCGCCCTCGCGAGGCTTCCGAAGACGAGGTCTATCATAAAACGGGGCACTCCTCATCTCAGCGGCGTGGTCGGTGCCCTGAACTCCCTCCAACCTCCCATTTCCACCCGGGTAAGTAAACCCACGTTCCTTCTTCCCCTGACCGATTGTCCTATTCGGGTCAACGTCCGGGCGGTCCTTCGAAAGACCGGTGCCAGCTCATGACCTTTTGCTATCTCTACCCCCAACGAGTGCCAGCCGATCTTAGGCAGATACATGGTCCCAGTAACTTCCAGATTGGAATACAAATCGTCCCCGGGTCCTCGATTGAGTCTCATCCCTATCCACCGACATTCTACCAACATGAAGGCGGCGTCCCATCCCAAGGTCACGGCCCGCCATTCTATGTCGAACCCCCGATGGGTAGAACTCGACGGGAGGGATACTTCCCATCGTCCACCGTTATTCCAAGGCGGTTCGGGGTACCGGTGTCGGCGCGAATACCCTGACAAGGGTATCCGCCCTTGCTTTTGCAAGTGACCGGAAGTACGGGTAGAGGTCTAGAGTGTACCGCGCGAGACGCGGCTCCGTCTGTTTGGTTACGTAGGTAAGTTGCTTGATTAGAGTGGAGTGGGTGTGGGCGCGCGAGATTAAGGCGCGCATGTGATTTTTCTACTTTGGATTCTGCAACCGACATAGTTGGCCGGCCTGACTCTGGCGACTAGGAATGAGAGGTGCCCTTGGTAGACCGTTGGTAGTCTAACGTGCGGAGTCGGCCACGGCGCAAAGCGGGCAAGCCGGCATAGGAGCCTAGCAGTGGCGTGCTAATGGGAGGCAGGAATGAGGCCTGGGGGCTGCGTCGCACCTGTTCATATGGAATACCGCGCTGGCCAGTATCAGGCTTGGGCTTAGCCCTATAGGTTACGGCGTTGGACTATCACGGCAGAAGTACGGGGTTTGAGGCTACCGGGCGGCAGCATGGGAGAGACGGGGCATTAAAGGAGTTGAAGGGTTGAGGGTCCCGTGGGACTATCCCCTTTTGTCTTGGTGGGGGAGACCGACCACGGGCCCGCTTGGCGGGACCAGGGGGATGCTGGTGGGGTCT